AATACCTTAGAAAGATAAAATATAATTAGGCCTTGTTATTATTGCTATTTTTTGGAGAAGCCCATTATCATTCGCTCGCATTTTCAGCTCCATGGCACCATCTATTTATCCGGAAACAAGCTCACCGAGACGGAGGTCACAAAAACTTACCCATCACACTCTGCACAAATTAATCTCCTGACTCTGAATTTCATACTCTTATCGCTTATGGATTAAGGACGTATTGCAGGCATTAGCGCCACGGCAACCCGCCATTCCTGCCCTGTAGCTTGGGTAGTTTTTAGGGATAGTTTAGACAATTTCACTAGCCTCTCTTGATGTTTACAAAATTACACAAACCTCCCATAAGATTAAGATTTTGATAACAAAATGAGTCCAAGTAAGAAAAAGTAACATTAAAAATGTACTTTAAGAACAGAGATGAAAATTTGATTCCATAAATACTCCTTATACATTTACATAAGTTGTATTAGTGAAAAAGTGAAAATAATTAAAATTAGAAACAATTAATACACACATTACACTATTCAAAATGTTTACATTCAATACATTAAACAACACATATAAGTAATAAAATTACACTAATGATTACAAGATTAAGCAAAACAGACCAGGCATCTCTCTTAACTTAAGGTTTGCTATGATTCTTGTGATTTTGAACATAAAATTTTTTAAAATTTTTTCCCTATTTTCTCCTTTGCTTCTATGAAATTACTTTACAACTATGATAGATTTTCAAAGAAAATTTCCTCATGAACAACCTTCCTTTGCCTTGTGTTTTTTCTTCTATCAAAACCCTTCTTCTCACATTAGGTACAATTAATTTCTGATAATTGTCAAGTTCTATGAATCACAAAATAGCGCCATTTGATATGTTGATTGGCATTACTTTATAATTGTAAGTCACCATTCATCATTAAAGAAATTTTCAACAGTTATTTATGTTAGTTATTATGCGTTAATTAGTGCTCTAATTATTCAATCGTTACACATTAGTTTCTAATAAGACATAATGTCATAGGGTATATGAGTAATTTCTCCCCATGTGATGTAAATAATTGGGCCCACAATTCTATCAAAGGAGGTAAATATAATTTTACAAATCTCAAGGGAGGCCAATGAAATTGTTAGAAATCTTAGGAGAGATTTCTGCAATTATTCGTAGGCTTTGCTGGTTTTTGTTCACCCTGTTCCCTATAGGCTATAGCTTTCTCCGCAGCAATAAAGTCAACCTAGCATATGCCGTACGACGTTTTAGAAGACTTCTTTTTGAGCCCCATTTTAGAAGACTAAATCTCAAGTAGTCCCCATACATAACATTTTGAATCTGTATTCATTGCAAGTAAACTACAAAAAAAAAAACAGAAAGCTTTGTCATGCAATAAAATGAAAATTCAAACATATTCTATAATAATTTTAGTACTTCAGTTTTGCATCAAATATTCAAAATTGGGATAATTTCAAAAACCATCCCCCAATTTTTTGACAATTTCATTGCCCTTGAGATTCGGGAAATATCACTTATCTCACTTATTAGCTATTTAAAGCTTAGTGCTTATCTCATAGATGACCAAATGACTTTATTACCCTTATAACTTAGGAAATGTTACGAGAGAAACAATTGAGCCATGTGTACTAAATTAACTATAATTTGGAATATAAAAAATTTGAAAATGTTGAATACTAAATTTTATAATGATAATTGTTAACATTTTAAAATTATTTTTTTTATATTTTATTAGTTCTTGTACCTCCCCCCCCCCCAAAAAGATTAAAATTCCTACTGAGATATTATTATTTCATAAATTGTTCATAAGATTAATAAGATGAATATGAAAATGCATGAAAAAGAGAGTAAAGTACTAAACTATGTTTATAATTAGAATTTATTAAGTTATAATTGTTCACTTATCTCCTTTCTTTTTCAAAATATTTGGCGTTTCTTTTCTTTTCTTTGTATACATAATCCAAACAAGATTTTAAAACTATTTTCTCTACTTTGATTTATTTGTTTCTCTATTAAAATCATACCCTTTCTATTAATCAAAACATCACCTGAGAGTTGTTATTTTTTTTTTTATCACAAATGATGAAATTTCTTGTTAACCAAGTGAAATAATGGACCCCGTAAGTTAAAGAAATAATTAAAAAATAACATATATTATATTTTTTTTTATCATTAGCAATCTATTGTGATGTTGTTTCTTGAAGAGGCCATACTTTGTCTTATTCAATTCTTGTTCAAAATCTTCCAAATTCTAATATTAAGAAGTTAGGAAACTTAGGTGTAATAAAGTTCAAAATCTTCCAAATTCTCCGTACAATTACGTAATACTTTCTAAGTTGTATAAGTGTGTTTGGATTGTAAATTATTTGAGATAATTTTGTGAAAAAAGTACTATAGCACTTTTTTGATATGATGTATGTGAGATAAAAAGTTGATTGAAAAATATGTGGATAATACAAGTAAGTCAGTGTATGTAAATAAGGTGTAAATAAAGTTTAATTTTTTACAATCCAAACACGAATCCATGAGCTAGGCATTGATCTCAAATGCCTGATAGAAAATGTAAGTGATATTTCCAAAACCTTGGGAGAGAGCAGTGAAATTATCAGGAGAGATTTCTGAAATTATGGCTTACAAAAATCACATAATTAGAGGGTTTCACTGCAGAGACTAAAAGGGTCGCACCAGATGAGGAGATAAAGTTCCTTTGGAAACGGTTCAAATATGACCATGACTACGCTTAGCAGACCCCGCACCAGATGAGGCATGTTCCTTCTTCTTGAAATTAACAAAAGCATCTTGAACTTGAAAAGTTCAAAAACGATAAAGATTGTGTCAGCATTAAGCGAGTCAAAAGACTCAAAACTAACTATTTAATTGCAGTACTTAACAATCATCCACAGGGCTATGCTTTAAAACTGAAAGGATCATAATAGAAGATAGGATTAGTTCTATAAGGTGACTAGAACTATACAAGGTAAAAAAAAAATTTGTAAGAAAAGAGTCTTGACATTAAAAAGCTGCGCTGATCTCCGTATTAATGATATAGATGCAAACAGTAAGCAGATACATGATTTAGTTGTCCACACACAAAGCTTCTGAAACCAACACACCAAATGAAATCAATTACATAATCTTAGTGTTTTACATCTGCAATATAAGAAGATTAATACTAACGCAAAGTCTAAACTTGACAGGTTAGAAGTCTAAGAGGCAGAAAAGACCAGAGAGTATCATGACAAAGGTAAGCTTCAGAAGGATTGAAAGGGCAGAAAAATCCATCGATTCGAATATCTCTGTATCTATGCATACAGTAGACGTGTTTAAGCAATTAAAAATTACTAACGCAATTTATTCGTGCATCAGAACTGCATACTTTCTCCACTTAATCGGTTATTAATGTATAGCTGACCTGAACTGTCTTCTGGGCCAAGTTGTTACTGAACTTTCTCCACAGGGTAGGCTCCATAGGAGCAGGGGTAGGAGTGCTAGAAGGTTTTGATACAGGGGCCGCATCTCCAAGTCCAGCAGGAATCTTGTCCAGATCCACCTCCCTTTGAGCAGTTCTTCCATTCTTCTTTCTTCTTATCTTTGCAAGCCTCTGCAACATCTTCAGTTATCTGCTTGGTTCTAGCATTCCAACTATGTTGATGTGGTTCAACTACAGGACGTGACTCATTTCCAGCCCAGCATGAGCTGCAGTAAAAGCACTCGTACCCTTCCTTTTACACGACTTCTTATTGCCAGAAAACATGACTACTGATGCTTCTAATTCATCTGAAGTGCTGGTATAATCTCTAGCTGCTTAACCTCTTGACTTAACCACAGAAACAGATTCATTTTTTTTTCCAATACAGACGACCAGTACCAAACAAATTAGCAATACTCTTTTCTAAAGAGTTCGAAGACTTCATTTGCTTTCCCGTGAAAGTAATCAAAACATGTCCTCATCTTCCTCTTTGCTCCGGACTTTATACTCTCAGTGCTCGAGTCCATCACATCTAGATGTTAGACACACAATACCACCACCCTTCCTAACAGATTTCGATGGTTTCTTTGACCCTGAAAATTCGATAAGAGCATCCTGATCATGATCAGACTGTTCCCCAGAAACTAAATCATCTACCAATTCCATCATCTGCATCATCCATTGCACCATAAGCCAATCCGTGAAAACTGCCACCACTTTTTTTTTACCAAAATTTAACGGCGTTATCTTCGCAGAAAATACAATTACTGGATCGTCATCCCTATCAGACAGCTTTCCATGAAACTGAATGTCCACCAACTTCATCATCCTTATCACCATATGCATCGAGTATTGCGTCCCCAAAATCATTTCTAGTTTCTACCACCACCATATGTTTTGGGCAATATACACTTTACCCACACGTGGTTTAGCGCATTTTCACATAAACCCTTGTAGTTTTAAAAGCTAGACAAAGGCCCCTCATGATTTGAATAAAAGTGTCAAAATGACGGAATTTGCATTTCATAACAGAGTCAACTAAATTATAAAAACTATACGTACGTAAAGTTAAAAATTATTTATTAACCACGGGGGTTGTGTATATATTTTGAAAACCATAAGGAAGTTATATAATAAATCATTAAACTAGAAGAGAGTTATATGATAAAATATAACAGCATACAAGATTAGTGTCATGCATATTATATTTATATATTTTGGTTACTTCAATCATTTTAGGTTATAAGCCAGGGTAGTTTTGACATTTTCATGAATTCCGATACAAATAATTATTTCCGTCACTTTGACACTTTAATCCAAACTATGAAGAAATTATATACAACTTTTGAAATTACAGGAGAATTATGTGAAAAATCGCTAAACCACGTGAAGGTAAAGTTAAAGTGTATTTTGCCCCCTTTTTTTTTTTTGCTGTCTTCTTACCACTATGGTCAACCACATTCTCTACATCATCTTCACTACCGCTGTTCTGACCTTCTTTAGCCCAGAACAAGAACTACATTATTAGACATTTCCTCGGTGCTTCTTGAAATGTTCAGGTCCAAAAGGCTTGTCTTCTTTCTTCATGCATCTCTTCCAAAGCCAGTGTACCATCCATACAGTGCTCACCATGCTATGTTCTTTGACATTAGCAGTCTCTGGCACTAAAAAGAAGATGAAGCATGCTAGAAGAAATGCCACAACACTGGTACAAAAGAAAATCCACGATTGGACCACACAGAGTAAATTAATGGATGCCTCGCTCATGATAACGGTCATCAATAAACTAAGACTAGTCAGCCATGCAGCTCCTAGTGCACTACCAGCCCCTGTGATTGAGCTGTTTATCCAGCCATGAGGATTTGTTAATACATTATAAGCAGCATAGCTGACAACTAACGACCCTGCTGTAATGGAGGCATCAATCTTTGTCAAATTTTTTGTTGGACTCACATCCAAGGAAAAAACCGTCCACAATACTAGCTGAAATCAATAGAAAAGACATGTCAAATTCCAGACTACATACATAAAGAAACAAACTGAGATGCCCGAAAAAGTTAATTGAGATGAGAGAAAGAGCAAGAAATAAACCTGTGATCCTAAGATGGAAAAAGAGGAAATGAGAGCCAATCTTCTCAGTTTAACTCTCAGTAAAAAATAAGATGCAATCAGCGTGACTAACAATCCCAGAGCTCCACCAACAGCTAGTGCAATGACGCTAATATGAGAGTTTGAAGATAGGGATGTCGAAACTAGTGGCCCAAAGTACGTCAATGGGGAAACTCCTAGCATCTGTGGTAACACTTGTGCCACTGTTTTGATAACTAGAGTTGGTAAGTTTTGATAACTTAGTAACTCTCTGATAGGACTTTTGGGTGCCTCATTCTCAATGGCAATTTCAAGCTGGTAAAATTCCACATCGACATCTGTAACCTTCGGATCACGATACCTTCTCATGACAACTTTAGCTCTTAACCTATCCTTTTTAATTAGAAACGTTGGAGTCTCACTAACACAGAGAGAGAATACGAATAAAAGTAAGTTCAACCCTCCATGAACTCCAAATGAGAGTCTCCACCCCCAACGAGGGTAATATGAGGCTGTGAGATTGACAAGGAATGCTAGTAGACACCCCCAGACCTGGTAGCCAAACAAGACATTCAATTTCGTTTTAGTTTCGTCTGGGGCTAATTCTGATAAGATAGTCGGAATATCCTGAAACAATAATAATCAAAACATCATATGTTATATTCAGAAAATTCAAAATTTGCATTAAAAAAAAGGTAAAGATAACTTCTAACAATTTTGTTGTACCTGAAAGATAAAACCAAGTCCAATCCCTACCGAAACAAGGCCCAGTATCAGAAGAAAAGCAGGTGAGGGCACCACGAGGCAACAGTCTCCAACAAGCATAACAAGAAGCCCTATTATGAGCACTGGCTTCCTACCCCACTTACTACTTAACTTTAGAGCTGCCCACACTGAAATGGCAGCAGAAAGAGGGATAAGGGATGAAATCAGGAGGAATCCAAAATCTGAAAACTTGCAGAAATTCGTAATTTTCGCTTCATTCTTCTTTATGTAGTAGCGAGAAAATTTATCTAAGAAAATCGCGTTCTCAAGGATGCCTCCTGAAAAAAGAACCATTGTATCAGTTAGATATTAACTAATTTAATCGTTAGTTCATTGTGTACTGATTAATCCAGAATATAGGACAATAAAATTAATATTCAATCAACAAGCACTAATTATTTTCCTTGTGTATGTCATGAGACAAAATGAATTCTTAGATGCCAAAAACAAGAAACTGATTAGGGATTTTCACACTCAATACCTGGACATACACACTACGGATGTCAAGATACATTCACACAATTAATGTGTAAAATGATTGAAAGGGGTGTAAGAAAGTTAGTTTGACGAGGGAAGTCATCAGTCCTTAATGCGTTGTTTCAGAAGGCTTAAATCATCGAAAATGTGCTTTTACATGGGTCGTTAAAAGTGCCACGGATGCAACATTAGAAGTAGGTCTGGAGGGATGTGGGAGTTTGTGCAATGAGATTCCAATCGGCAATGGCTGAGAGCTTGCATGGCCTTTGACTGAGTCTGGGATTCGGTGAGTTTTAGTTACGGTCATACTGAAAGATTCAAGCTTTTATTTTTGGGTAATGAAAGACTGATTTTATCATTTTATGCATGGGTTGAAGTTTAGAAGAACAGACAATGCATTCGATTAAGAATCACTAACACTCTGACCCTCCGATGAAATCAAAGGCACCTGAAACTGCTTCTATCTTGAAAACTGATTCGATTAAGTATCACTAACACTCTGACTCTCTGATGAAATCAAAGGCACCTGAAACTGCTTCTATCTTGAAAACATCAGAACTCAGACCTAGTGCTTCTTGCAATTTCGCGTGTCTACATACATTTGAAACCTTATTCGAACCTCTTTGAATACCCTATTTTCAATCGACTGATGCTTTTGGTCTTTCCTTCCTTTGTTTTTGCTGCCTACCAAAGACTTAACTGAAAGATTTATGAGACTCTAATTGAAACTTCATACATAAGTAAACTTTGTTATCAACATAAAAGTTTTTGGTAATTTTTGTGGGGATAAGAAGCTTAAGGGCGAGGAGATTTCAAATATTTTTGGATTTTAAGGGGAAAAAACACAGGAATCTGTAAGATTTGGGGCCGCCTCCAGGTGTTAGTTTGTTGCCTACTGCTTAATGTACCTTTGCCCTTTGTACTGAGGTAGATAGATGATACCTAAGGTTATGCTAAAAAAAAAAAAAAAGGAATGAATGCGTCTAAACACCATGCCCACCTAAAAGTGGAGAGGTGGAGAAATAAACAACAAGCCAAACAATCCAAATATTAATTTAAGGCTATAGTTTGGTGAGTTTCAGAAAAGTAGCATATATGTTCAATTCATATAAAGCAAAGAACTGGTAATATTTCATTCACAAATTCCACAGCCAAACCACCAAATAATTGAGTTGACGCTGGGTAATCCCCCCCCCCCCTCCCCCTCTCCTCTCTTATTGCTCTCTTTTCTCAAATTGCCCCCTTAAATGTTCAACATTGCTCTCTTCTCTCAAATTGGCCGCCTAAAAATTAAAACAAGTTTAAATGTATTTTATCTTGTACTTTATAATTCAAAATTATGTTACAAGATTGCGAGTAAAATCTATCAATTTTTTAAACTAAATTATTCACAAAATCAATGTTTTGGTATCGCTTCCTTATCATTTTTTTATTGTAAAATATGTACTTGAAAATAACATTTTCATACAATTTTGATTTTTGTCTATTATCAATCGCTGCCTTATCATATTTTTCATTATAAATATGTAATTGAAAATAACATTTTCATATAATTTTGATTCTTGAGTATTATTGACGTAGTTTTTGGCCTTTACTCTTCCATCTTTTGCCACCACTGACTCCAAGTCCTGACTCCATCAATGCTTCTATGTCGAGAGCGAAGGAGATGATGGAGTGAAGATATTGGCATCAAGTTCATCCCTAAGTTGGTTTTCCAAATTTGTTCTTACCCTGTTGGGTTTAAATTTGTTCGATTTCATATTAAAGTTCCAGTTTTCATTGTCTTCAATGCACTAAACCTGATGAAATGTACCCTGGCTGTACTTTATCCCCTAACCTTTGTTTATAGATACCTTATCCCCTGCTCGATGTTTCAGGATAAAAATGCCTCTTCTACATCAATTATCTTTTCATATAGTTTCCAGCATTTAAATGCATATAAACAAACGAGAGGACATAGACTCATAATTAATTAATTACTAATAGTAAAAGTGACAAATAATAAGATCAAAATAAAAAGAGTAAATTACATATAACCCCTCTGTAATTTCATTTATTGCCACATAACCCCCTTAACATTTTTAAATGTCTACTTTGCCCCCTATAATTTTATGTGAATTGGAAACTTAATGAAAAATAATCTATATAATGTTATTAATTGAAATACCAATAGTGCCTTTACTTAAATGCTAAATCAGTCGACGGTTTAACTGCCTTGTACAGAAGTATAGGAGGATTACAAGGATACATGCAAAAATCACGGGGATAAAGTGGATATTTATACAGCCTATAATAAGTTTACACGAAGATTAAAATTTTATCACATACGCTTTTAGAACACGTTTGGTATAAATGCCATAACTAATTGTACATACAGTCCATTTTGCGCTTTACATAAAACCATTGGAGAGTTATGTGGTTATTTTGAAATCTAAGGGCATTATGTAAAATCACATGGAAAATTATTGAAATATTAATGGCACTACCACATTTGTTAATGACACTTTCATTCATATGAGATGACAAAATTCTCGTGTTTTTCATTTTAATTACACCTTTGCAACAATTATGTATTTAAAATTTACTGTAAAATAGTATACTTTTGTTTAATTCACCCGGTCAAAAGATATATAGTAATTATATTAGCAAAAAGGGAGTTCCATATATATTTCCCAACTATATTATATAGTGAAAAATAAAGATGAGAACTGGGGAGGAGAGAGAGATGAAGAAGGGTTAAGTGTCTGTCAAAGAAATTTAAGGAATAAAATGCAACGGAGGGCAAAGTCGCTTTGGTTTAACAAGCCCGAGCGGCAAGCTGTTAGACCAATATGTGTTAAATTTCTATTTCTGATGCTGTTTTAAGATGTACTACTGTTATTATGTAAATGCAAGAGGATAATACAAAATTTATCTCCAATCCCAAATTCGTGACAAAAAGTTTATGCTGCAAAAATCCCCCCTTTCTTTCTGTTTCATATGAATGAATTATTACTCTTATATGTTTTCGTTCTTTGATGAAAAGGTTCCATAATTATATATCCGTTTTCCTTTGCTCAAACTGATCAGCTTTCCAAATTCTTAAGCCTATAGATCCAATGTGAATCATACAGTAGAACATTTAATACATTAATAGTGATTACCTGTAATATTCACTGCATAGCCAATTGTTCCTCCACCTAATAATGCTAGCAGTTCGAGCAATCTATTCGGGTGAATGATATCCTTCATTTCACCACATCTGCATGTTGGAGAGGATTTTTTTTTTTCATCACATGTTGGAGAGGAATGAAAAAAAGCAATGAAATTTCACTTTTTCCGATTTATTGGGAACAGGTGGTACCTAGGTGGCATGGGAGCACTTGATGTAATCGGATCAAGAGGAATGGTAATAGCATGTGCATGAAGCTCTTGTTCCACCATCTCAGACTCTGAAGGAGCTTCAGATGCAGGTCCGATCTCGGCTGTAAATGAAGGCACTTCCTGTCTAGTAATCCCAGAACCACCGACGCCCTGCAGCTCATCTCCTTTGATTCCAAAACTACCTTGAGGCTCCCCGATACCCGTAGGTGCACTCCTAGTGCGCCTATGTGGTTGTCCAACAGCACGCACCCCCGGCGGTTCTTCCCTAAAACATAATTTTCAGTTACAACTAGTAATAGTTAACGTACTTTACACGTGATCGTTATATCAATCCGAATATAACATCTCTTAGATATAAATTTTTTTTTTGTCAAATTTGATTATTTACTTGGTAATATAATATTTTATATTTTTTTATTTATTTAACCAATTGTTGTTACACAGTTCCTCCACCTAAAACATTTGAAATCTCTTTTGATTATATATATATATATATATATCATTATAGGTGTTTAAACCAAATCTTTAATGGTATCTTCTAGTTCTAATTTATTTATTTATTTTTATTTCAATTTCTTCTTTTTATGTTTGAAGGAAAAAAGGCAATGAAAAGATAAATTTATCAATTTATTAGTTTGACTTTGACTTTATACTATTCACTATTAATTTTGATGGAAAAACTAGTAGTGCAATTTTAATCCAAATCATGAAGGGATTATATATAGGTTTTTAAATCATAGGGAGTTTTGTGGTAAATTATCAAATCATAGGGGGTAAAAGGTAATTTATCTTTCATATTTTTAATTACTACAACAATTAAAAAGGAATAAAATAATATGGACACAAAAAAAAAAAAAAGATCAAAATGTGCCATGAGATAAAGTGGATTTCCATAATTCAATTTTAAATAGGTAGGAAGAACCTAAGAGAAAACCTTATGCCATGAGATTATAATTTAGGTAGGTTAAAGAAAGGTATAAAGGAATGCATTTTATCAAACAATGCGGTACCTGTGAGTCCGAGGATATACATAAGTGGTCAGCATCCTCCATAGTTGATTCCCAAATGTCGACGGATATAAGTAGGTGGTCAAAATCCTCCACAAATTATGGAACCATTGGATGACTATCAGGGGTGAGAATCTGCAGTTGATATATGTCAGAAACCAAATTCTCAGTATTTAAAAAAGTTACTTTCACTTAAGATTAACCAGTAAACTGACCTTCCGCTCCTGGCAACCTGAAGTTGTAAAAGAAGAATACATAAGTAGGGAGTCAATTACAAAGATGATGAATAGGATAATGTAAGAAAAAGTTCCAACCTGAGGTGGTAAAATCGGTGGTGCACTTCGTGTGCGCCGAAGCTGACCATGCATTTTTAAATGATGCTTGTCCTGAAACATATATAAACGTTGTCAATGATACAGCTTCCTGCTTATGACAAGTAGTTAAGGATTCTCTACAATAAGAAAATCTAATTATCGCAAACCACGTTGAAATAGCGAATTTGGAGTTTTGCAGATGATAGGAATTTCTTTGTTTCCCCAAGAACAAAGGAATCTATATGCACGTGTACTTCTACTTGGCTCATCTTTGGCTTTTTTGTTATAACGATATATGTGTTTGCGATGTTTCAAAGCTAGACTGTTAACAACATTGTTGAGTGATATTACGTTCTGCAAACATTGTTGAAATAGCGAATTTGGAGTTTTGCAGAAGCACAGAGGAAGAAAACTCGCTTGCTTCCTTCTTCTTCTTCCTCTTCTCCTTGCTACAAACTTATGAAGGCAACCTTGGTTAGCTTTGGAGAAAAAATCCAATGTTTCACCTACAAGAGGCCAGCCTGATCTTCCTGGCGGTAGCCTTGGCTTTTCAGCAGCTAAGTTGGGTTTTGAAATTTGAGATTTTTTTTCTCAAAATAAACTTGTGAAGAAACAGATAAAGGATTGGAATTAGAAACAAAAGAAGCAGAAGGAGAGGCTGAAATTCCATCACCATGTTTGCCTTTTCTAGTTGTCTTGAGAGTCTTGAGACGTGAAACAAAAGATTAGATCAAGAAAGGAAAGCACAGTTACTCAAACTAGTAATGAATTGCATATTTGAATCCTTACATGTACTGATTTCCAGCTAACATTGATAAGAATCTTTCTTTGTCGACCAACTATAATTGCTTGAATTATTAACAACTTATATTCATTTAAATGCTTAACAATAACCATTAATGCAAACTTGTTAAGCATCACCACCAAAAAAAAAAAAAAAACTCAAATTCTTGTCCTTACAAAATAAAGCCACTAACTGAGCAAACACTAAAAAAGGAAAAAAAAAAAAAAAAGGATGCAAAGCAATAATATCACGAACATTTGAGGGATGGCTTGGAAAGCTAGCAAGAGAATTGGCTTACCTTCTCAGCCATGGTTGATGAGGGAGGCAATCAGTGACGATTGGTGGATCTGATCAAGAATCCACAGCAGCTAAGTTGGGTTTTGAAATTTGAGATTTTTTTTCTCAAAATAAACTTGTGAAGAAACAGATAAAGGATTGGAATTAGAAACAAAAGAAGCAGAAGGAGACGCTGAAATTCCATCACCATGTTTGCCTTTTCTAGTTGTCTTGAGAGTCTTGAGACGTGAAACAAAAGATTAGATCAAGAAAGGAAAGCACAGTTACTCAAACTAGTAATGAATTGCATATTTGAATCCTTACATGTACTGATTTCCAGCTAACATCGATAAGAATCTTTCTTTGTCGACTAACTATAATTGCTTGAATTATTAACAACTAATCATAGGTTTTCATTTATCTGGATCATTTAACAACTTATATTCATTTAAATGCTTAACAATAACCATTAATGCAAACTTCTTAACTGTACGTTTATATTGAATATTCATTAATTAATTGTACATTAAGTTAATTCTTGCAGACTAACCAAAGAAAGGATAAGATTTAAAAAAAATTTGGTGACTAGAGGTCCTTCGTTAAGTAATTTCTTTTAATGTACAATTAAAAGAAGTGAAAATAAAAATTTAAAAAAAAAAAAGGAAAAGTGTACCCTCATTACTTATGTATTCATATTTGAGAAAATTCTAAAATTGTGATGGAAAAAATAAGTTATTCTACATGGGGGGCAATTTTTGAGTTTAGTTCTAGCATTAGGGTCTTCGCATTTGTGAAATGCGAGTTCATTGACATCGCATTTCACAAATGCGAGGTTATTGAGCCGGAAAAGATGAGAAATGTTGTGCGAAAAAGAAAAAAGACAACACAAAGCTCGCATGTGTGGAATGTGAGGTGAGGTACCTCGCATTCGACAAATGCGAGATACTCAGTCTGAAACCCAATTCAAATATGTCTCGTAGCCGGCAGAAATTGGAGGTCACTTTCTCGTCTCCTTTGCTGAGGTAGTCAATGCTCCAAGCATCTCAGTTCTCCGTCATTGCCATTGTAGATGAAATCGCTCACATCTCGGCAGAGGAAATCCCTCACATCTTTGTCGTCGGAAGCTGTCCGCTGAAACCAAGCTGTCCCATTTCTGCCAAGCTGTCTGGAATCCGTGCATCTCTCCCCTCCCTCCCAATTTGCCATAAGAGGTATGAATTTATCTTTTTTTTTTTGTTTGTTGTTTGCACAGGATTTTTGTTTTGCTGAATTGAGCTGGCTGTTCTGTTTTGGCAATGTATTAATCGTTCTTGTTCTTTTGGTTTGACTCGCATTAGCTTGCCATGCTTAGTCTGACAATTAGTTTGGAAAAGGGAGAAAAAAGTTTGGAAAATCGCAGTTTCTGCAATTAGTGCAGAGAAAGAAAGATCCGAAGTCGGATCGAAGTCAATCCAGACGGATCCGACCCCGGATCCATAAGATACGAGCTCGGATCCAAGTAAACTCGGTCGGATCCGAGGGATCGTCTGTGTTCCTGGTGAGACGGATCCGAGGCTTGTCGGATCCGAGGACTTCAAGAACCGATCCGTGGTCGGATCGGTTCGCGATATGTTTGAAACCGAGGGCTCAGTTCCTCAGTTTCCAGATTTCCTCTTCTCACCGAAACCCTAATTTTCCATTTCATCCATAAAAATTCCAATTTTTCACAATAAAAACCTTCCCTAAGCTCTTGTGAGCATTAAAAAAAGTAATTACACTTTTAAGGGGAGATTCTATCAAAATTTTTTTAAAAAAAAGTAATGACAATGTGTATTTGTTAATCATAATAAATATATATATTTTTCAAAATATATATAATAAAAAGTAATTTTTTCAAAATATATATATCTATTATGAATAATAAATTACAATAAACAAATAAAATTTGGAAATGATTATTATGCTGGATCTTTATTTTTGCATTTATAGCAAATTATATCTTGTACTGTATAAGAAAAATAATCACGTAATAATCGTTTGATAAAGGGTTAAATGCAAAAAACCCCTATAAACTATTTACTCAGTTACAGTTTATCCCCTAAACTGTAATAATAGGCATTTTGCCCTCTTGAATGATATGTTTGGAAAAATTTACCCCTTTTGATGTATCCTATTTGTTAATTTTCTTTTTAAATTCTTCATTTTTTTCTTTAAACAATTGTTTAAATAAGTAGACTAGATTAGTCAAAATTTGTTTATTTCTTAATTTCGTAGGTCAATATTTTATACAAAAAAAATGTATGTGAGTAAAAGATTTTTTCCCAAATGTTGAATTCAATGTCATTTAAGAAATTTAACTTTTCAAATATATAATAACAAAATAGGGAAATTGATTAATCAATTATTAGTAGTATCAATAACAAAAAAATAAACTACTATTGTTGTTCATTCTTATTTTGTATTTCACTACAAATAATAATTGTTAACTTTTCTTTCTTATGTGGTATATAATATGTTGCTTTTATTATAAGTATTTGAGTAACTACGAATTCTTAATTAGTTTATAGGTACTTAAATTATTGAATTACTAGATTAATACACTTTACAAAAATTGTTGACTTACTACATTAATACACTTTAAGTAGTTTTGTACTACTAATTCAAATTTATTTTTTCCAACATAGGGATTGTTTTCTTTGATATGTCTATAGAAAGACCTCTACGAGTATCTCTTTATTGGGGAGGTAAAATACACTATGAAGATGGGCCAATTTGTTATTTGCCTCGTACCTCCAACCGTACATTCTCATTACGGCATAGAATTGGATATGATGAGCTGGTGGATAGAATTTATCAATACATGGGGGTCGATAGGGGGCTGTTCAAGTTGAATTTATTTCTCTGCCAACCTTGTGGCCGTACTTCTTATAATGTCTCTCCAGTGGTGGATGATGAAACTCTGGAGATAATGTATGATGTCTGGAACGAAATTGTCCCATACATCGCTGAACTTTATATCGAGAAGGAGGAAATAGTCCAAAATCCTCGAGTCAGTAGTACATGGGGGTCGATAGGGGGCTGTTCAAGTTGAATTTATTTCTCCGCCAACCTTGTGGCCGTACTTCTTATAATGTCTCTCCAGTGGTGGATGATGAAACTCTGGAGATAATGTATGATGTCTGGAACGAAATTGTCCCATACATCGCTGAACTTTATATCGAGAAGGAGGAAATAGTCCAAAATCCTCGAATCAGTAGCACATTCATTCCACCAACTACCAATATTGGTCCGATGATGTCGCTTGTCCATGCATGCATGGATCCAACTATGTATCGATCCTACTCTAGTACAGTGGTACCAGAGACAGCATCGGTATCACAACTACCACATAGGGATTGTGTTAGGGACTTGGTAGAGCCACGGTTCACGTCAGGCTTAAGGACGGATGTTGAATATGTTCAAGGCCTTGACTCGATTCAAAGTTTTAGAGACCCCGTATCGCCGAATCATGTGCCTTCTTATGGCTTCGATTCGACTGCCGGTCCAAGTCATTGTAACATATTGGTAGATGATGATTTGGAAAATGATTTAGAAGATGTGGAAGAATCTGAGTCGGTAGATGTGTCAGGCAGCAACTCAAATGGCGAAATGGACCATCCCCTTGGAACCTTGATGGATCAAACTTTTCAGGGTTAGGAAAGTATTCTGGGTTCATGTGCGTGGCATGTGCATTCCAGTGCATCTGCAGACATCAAACATGAATGTTTATCCTTGGCCGATAATTGAAAACAAATTAATCTCAAGATTTACAAGGCAGAAGAATGTCAAATTTATTTACCATCCACCCTTGAGGGATTGTATATCCTCCATAGTCCACATCAGTAATGGCCTCTTTGAATCCCCCGAGTGCTGGTGATTTCAGTCTCAGAGCTTCACATGCAACATTCCATGAATACTTCATCTTCCTTAGATCCTCCCAACTGAGTCTGTCTTTTGATTTCTTTAGATGTGCAATTTCTTTTTGCTCTTTCCCCCATTCATGGAAAGCATATTATTAGCAAAGATCTTTTGGCTTGAAAATCTTTCAAACAAATGAAAATATATTCTTCTGTTTTATCCTAACGTAAACATACAGATGCATGAGCAGAATTAGCTATTGATTTACCTCTCAAGACCAAGTTAGAGTGGAATGAGTGAAAAAGGAGTAAAGTAATGTGTGTGTGTGTGTGTAGAGTAAGGGCAGTTTTGTCCAAAAATTCAAAAAAGGGGGGAGGAGAGAGAGATGAAGAAGGGTTAAGTGTCTGTCAAAGAAATTTAAGGAATAAAATGCAACGGAGGGCAAAGTCGCTTTGGTTTAACAAGCCCGAGTGGCAAGCTGTTAGACCACTTGGGATCCTCGGTGACATGTTTTCTATGCCAATCCAATGCCACCAATAGTGTTGCACCAAGTGTCATGTTATTATTTATATTTGTGTTAAACCAAGCCAAGTTAAATTATTAGAAAATTAAAGGATAATTAATAACAAGACACTTGGCGCAACACTATTAGTGGCATTGGATTGGCATAGAAAACATGTCACCGAGGATTCCAAGTGCTATTAGACCAATATGTGTTAAATTTCTATTTCTGATGCTGTTTTAAGATGTACTACTGTTATTATGTAAGTGCAAGAGGATAATACAAAATTTATTAGTGACAAAATGCATAAAGTTTATGCTGCAAAAATCCCTCCTTTCTCTTCTGTTTCATATGAATGAATTATCTCCCGTTGTTAATTTATATGTGATTACTCTTATATGTTTTCGTTCTTTGATGAAAAGGTTCCATAATTGTATATCCGTTTTCCTTTGCTCAAATTGATCAGCTTTCCAAATTCTTAAGCCTATAGATCCAATGTGAATCATGCAGTAGAACATTTAATACATTAATAGTGATTACCTGTAATATTCACTGCATAGCCAATTGTTCCTCCACCAAATAATGCTAGCAGTTCGAGCAATCTATTCGGGTGAATGATATCCTTCATTTTACCACATCTGCATGTTGGAGAGGAT